GGAACTCAGGGCTCCCAGGCCTTCGGAGGAGGAGAGCACTTCCAGAGCGGGCAGTAGAATTCCTTCAGAATCCCTGGTGCCACAAACTACTGACCTAGCAAATTGAAAGTCCCACACAGATCATTTGCAGGTTTAATATGCTCCTCTGTACTGTTTGCCCAAATAACATCGTGAAAGACAATGATCTGTGTTGTGGTCTTGCGAGGAGCATGAGTGTGGAACTGAAGGGAACATAGCTGGGGACCACATTATTATACACATGCAGCCCCATTTTATTTAGGGCCATGTAAAACCTCACTCGCCACTGAAGTGATTGCAGCTCACAGCCAGCTACACGGTGCCTACCCTGAGTCTCTTCAGAAAAAATCACACAATAAGCTGAATCCTAACATGCTTACACACACACATCTTGTCTTTATGGAAAATGGCTACTAATCCATGATCATTTTTTTCCAGAAACAGGTTTTATGATAATACAGTAAAAATATTAAATTAGAAAATGCCTCACTAAGGGTTATAAAACCTTACTATACTAGAGATAGGTAATTATCCCCTCTACAGCCTAAATGACAGTTTAAAAGAAATAAAAATGTTAGTGCTCATTACTTGCTTTTGTAGGTTGCAATAAAGGGTGAGTTAAATTTTAATTCAAGGAAGAGCCCTTCTATCAACCTTCTACCTTAGGTGCATGTCCTGTTAATTATGCTGTCGCGTATTCTCCGTGATACCAACATTAATACACTTTCCACAGTGGACATTCCCACTGGCCACAGAGAGCTTGAGGGTGAGGGGAAGGGGAACAAACCATTTCAGACCAGTGGTCCAGAGCTGGATGGAGTCTTAATGTGATCAGAAGCAGGGATTATGTATCTTTTTGTTAAGAAGCCCAAGTTCATTATGCATAGCCTTAAGGGGACCCGAAGCATTAAACTCTGCACTTGGCGCAGAGAATCAGGTGGAGACAGGGTTAACCTGAAGGATGGATGGTGCAGGGCCTGTGCACAGCCAGGCCCAGTCAAGAAGGTGCCACAGAAGTGCTCCTGCCGTAGAAGCAGCCAGCCCGCCCAGGTGCCCCTTTTGGTTGCCTGGCTTCCATTTGTTTTCCTTGAGATGGTGTAAGGGCTTTGGAGCCAGTTTGTTTATTCTCAGATGTTTCTGCCTTTCCCTCAGCACTGACTCCAGGTCTAGCACCTCTCTGCGTTTAGGGAAAGCTCCATGTCACCATCAGGACTCAGTCTCAGTCCTAGTGCACAAAGACTCCCAGGAGAAAGTAGCCCCGGAGCTTGAAGGAGTTGCTCTCTGGGTGAGCAGCAGGTGCCCCTGCCCAGCCTCTCGCAGAGCCCGGTGCATGCTGGCCCCAGCCCTGGGCAGGGTGAGCTAGGGTACAAGCACAGGGCATTGGTGTGAGTGAGGGACCGAGAAGGAGACACCCAAGGACTGGGTGAAAGGGCCCTCAAAGTTCACATGGGCTCCAGGTCTCTGTTTTCAACCAAATTGCAGGAGAACATGTGTTGGTTTTGAGCTGGTAGATGATTAAAAGCACTTTTCAGTGGAAGATCACTGTGTGGGGCTTGGGGAGAGGATTGCTGTATACAATACTCACAATGAGAAGAATCAAGTGACATCCTTATGACAAAACTCCCATTCTTATCTCTTTTTTCTTGTGACAGGACTTTTCAGTACATACAACTACTCTTAAAAATACAAAACACCAAATAGAATTGCTGCTGAACCCTTTTCATTCTGATAATAAATAATATGCATCTATAGACCCATGAGCAAATGGAAGAAAAGCTTTATATAATTAAGAGCTTCATTTCCAGTAACATTTTACAAATTTATAATACGCTTTCACTAAAGTTATAAAACATTGTATTATATTGTTTTGTTTTGTTTGGTACCAGGGATCGAACTCAGAACCGTGCGCTTGCACGGCAGGCGCCAGAACCACTGAGCTAAATCCCCAGCCCATTGTATTATATTGTTATTACATATATTTGTATTCTAAAATAATTATAATGATAACCCAATCCAGAAGAAAAATTTTAATCACTTAGAGACTTACTGTTTCAAGAAATTAAAATACTGGCATTCCCATTTTTAAATTTCAAAACTTTTGGGAATATTCTATTTACATACCTATTTTTGTGGCCAAGAAATATAGGGTGATCAATAAAAGACTTTCAAGCATAAAACAATTACATTAAAGCAAAAATCTGCAGGGAAAAGTCAAATGGAACTACAAGTTTAAAAAGAAAACCATGCTATAAGATTTCCAAGTTAAAGAGTTTGTTTATGTGTTGTTTGAATGAATGATGGTGGGTGGCAAATTGGTATGGCATAGCAGTTCCATTGGGTGCACTACAAATGGGGATGTAAGGATTTTATTTTAAAAGTTAATATTCACAGGGGCCGGGGATTTAGCTCAGTGGTTTCGCCACCTGCTGCACAAGCGCAAGGACCCGAGTTCAATCCCCGGTACCAAAAAAAAAGTTAATATTCACAACATTCTGATAATTATATCCTTTGTGGCAATTTAAATTTACTCTGAAAAACAGCATGGCAGCCTAGTACACGTGAAGGGATGAGTGAGGGTTTTGTGAGCCTGTTTCCAGGTAGGGCTGCGTCCTCTCGGCTGTGCCAGTCCCTTGCGAATGCAGAGCCCAGCAGCACTGGAGCCCTGCACAGTGGGGAGGGCCTCATGCTGAGGGCGTTGTGCACCCCAAGGAGAGTCCGCTTTGACTGCCCTGGAGCTGCAGTTGAGGGCAGGGAGAGGGGGCAGTGAAGGGGCAGCAGAGGCAGCCTGAGGCCGTCACCAGGTCTCTAAGGGAGGGCACAGCGTGTGAATGATGAGGTCTGGAGCCACAGGCAGGCTGGGGTGCTTTGCAGGTGTGCGTGGCCGCCCATCAGTGGGTGAGGAAGGCAGTTTGGGACCATGCACTGGAACGGTCCTTTCCTTATTCATGTCCTCAGTCCCCGCCTGAGGCCCCCGCCCCGAATAGCTTAAGAACCCAGACCACTGAGCTTCCCAGTTGCTTTGCCATGAGCAGCTGCATATGTTTGTCAGCTTTGCGCACCTGAGTGTGAAATGATGTTCTATCAAAACATGAGTTCAGCATTTCCTTCTCTGCTCCTGACATGTGAACCCCGCTGCGGACAGTAACTGCTGCCTTTGGCCCAGGCGCTGCACTGCTATTGCGGCGCCGAGTGAAGCGTTTGCTAGGGTAATGATGGGGTCTGGTGCAGGCAAGCAAGGCGAGGCTGGGAAGGCTAAATAGCACTGAGCCTGGGATAGCCGTCTCATCAGCAGTGTCATCTTAAAGTCATACTGTCCTTTTAGTCATGGCCACTCTCTCCTTCGGGCCATTTAATTTTGTTGTTGAAGTGGTCAGAGAGACTTGTGCTTCTTGGCAAATAGGCAGGCGCAGTGTGACGAAGTGAGGGCCTCACTGCCGTCCTGCACCAGAGCTGGCGATTTGGAAGGGAAGCCATGCTCATTTACACTGGGGCCGGGCCTCCTGGCTGGGCTGTGGAGGGCGAGGCAGACAGATGTGGACGGCAGGGAACAAAAGAGACCCAGAGATCCCAGAGGAGCCTGTGTCCTTTTGTCTGGAGGCCTGCGGGCTGGTTGGTAGCAGGAGGAGGTGCCACCCAGTTCTTGCAGTAAAATTTCTGTGATCAAATTGGAGACAGGTGTTTTCTGGCCCAGACTTTCCCTGCCTGTCCTGTGGTCCCCAGCATGGCAAGGCTAGTTCACATCTTGGCTTCTGTGCTTTCTTCTTGAAGATTTTCACTTTTTGCTTTTTTAAAAGCTTTGGCATGCTATTCCTGTTGCTAAGTTTTCTCATTATAGTACCTCTGTTCCTCTCCAAACCAAAGCAGGGTGACCTCAGAAAAAGACTAGCAAGCTTTTTGTGTTGAAGTCTGGCTAAACTAAAATATGTGTTTGGAAGGTTGGGTTTTTTGTTTTGTTTGTAAACTCAAGAATTGCTGATGGCAGTGCTGAGACTGAGAACACTTCTAGATGTTTTTAACAAGATGGCAGACAGTGTTCTTTGGCAGATCTGGAAATGTCAGAGCTAGTGTAGTTTTCTTCTGGGGTTGCCAGCTCCCCAGCCCATCACCTCAGCCCACTGCCAGCCGCTCAATCCCTGCAGGGGAAAGTGTTCTGGAGCAGCCAGCACGGTGGCTGGAAGGACCCTAGGTCTTGGCGGATGGCTTTGGCCAGATCTGTGTTGTGTGTTACACTTAACAGGACAGAGGTTGGAAGTGATAATTTACTCAATTTTCAGAAACTCTAAAAGATACTAAGCATGTTTGAATTTTTTTAAAGGTCAGAATCCAACTTTAGAAATAAATTAGCCAGGGCCAGGGATTTAGCTCAGTGGTTTCGCCGCCTGCTGCGCAATCGCAAGGACCCGAGTTCAATCCCCGGTACCAAAAAAAAAAAGAAAGAAAAAAAGAAAGAAATTAGCCAATCACATTATTTGTTAGACCCAGGAGGGGGTGGGGGGAATGAAGAACCTCGGTTCTACTCCTGAACTGCCTGCCGCACATAGGATCATAATTGGAATCTTGTTGCTGGGTCATTTTCATTGTTTTTCAAGTACTGCCAAGTCCAAGAAAATGTATGAAAACTAAATTATATCCCCCTGCATCCCATGTCTGATTGAATCCTCCTCATCGCATGGCAGTCTCATACATTCTATTAAAATATTCAATCTTGTTTTCTTACTTGAAGAGCCTGTCTGTAAAGGGCAAACTTACAGAAGACTCATTCCCTGGAGACAGGGTATCCAGCCCCACTGGTCTGTTTACATATTCTACTACTTGATTGGCTGCTTCTGGGTCTCTTCCTTCTGTTGGATTTGTGAATAAGAGCTGCGAGATGCATTTTTTAATTACATGGCTGTGTTTTCAATTGAAGAAATAGATGAGGGTATTTCCCAGTTTCTTTCTAACCTTGAAAAGCTAACCACTTTGCTTTGTTTGTTCTCCAGGACAGAGCTGTATCGATCTCTTTTTGGGCAGCTCAACCCTCCAGCCACAAGCCCTGGGGAGTGACATTGCCTGTTCCCCTGCCGCAGGACTCTTGACACCATCCTGACCAGACCCGACGGAGGCAGCCCTGACCTGACGGGGACAGGAGTGCCTAGTACGTGCACCAGCACTGCCTCCTCCCATGTCCTTTCTCCATCACGAATAAAGAGTATTTCACTGCCACCCCCAAGTGTGACTTCTTCTGTGCCACAGAGTAAGTCTCATTCAGAGCTCAACAGTGTGGCTCATTTGTTGGGAGGGTTATTTTGTAGTTAAATGAATGGCCTTGTGCTATATAAAACTTCACGTTTTGTTTATGCACTCATCTGTTAATGGATGCTTAGATTGTTTCCACACTGGGCCATTGTGAACAGTGCCGCAGTGCACGTGGGAATGCAGCATTTCCTCCTGCACATGGATTTCCATTCCATCAGATACATAGCTAGAAGAAGTAGGATTGCTGCATCATATGTGTGGGGCACTCTTTTACATGGAGTTTGCTGATTTTACTCTGTGTGTCATGCTAGGGCTCAAATTTAGGCCCTCACACATGCTGAGCGCATGATCTCCCCATCCCTGTTTTTGTTTCTTTTTTGGCAGTGCTGGGGATTGAACCCAGGGCCTCACACACGGTAGGCAAGCATTCTACCACTAAGCTGCATCCCCAGCCCTTCTTATTTTGAGACACATCTTGCTAAATCACCTGGGCTAGCCTTAAACTTGGAATCCTCCTGCCTCAGCCTCCTAACTAGCTTGGATTACAGACATGTGCCACCACACTCAGCTAATACTAATTTTTATTTTGTTTTTTTGTTTTTGGTACTGGGAAACTAATTTTTAAATAACTTCACAAAAAAAGTGATTCCGGGGGCCGGGGATTTAGCTCAATGGTTTCGCCTCCTGCTTTGCAGGCACAAGGACCCGAGTTTGATCCCCGGTACCAAAAAAAAAAAAGTGATTCTGGGCAGGATGCTGCTTTCAGTGGGTGTTCAGTGATTTATCCTGGCCCTGATAGTGAACCTGCAAAACCCTATAAGCTGGCCCGGGAGACTTTGTAACTCAGCAATATCTGCCTGTTTGTCCACTAAACACAGATCTTCCAGGGCCCTTTCCTACTTGCTCCATTCCTAAATCACTTCATTGAGATGAGCTCTGGTGTAAATCTAGCAGGAGGAGATGATTCACTTGTTTTTTATCCAGAGGTCAAAAGCTGAAAATGAAATCCCCATAAGGGGGATTTATTGGCCTGCTGTGGTCAGTATGCAGTGGAGATTATCTTGCATAAGTAATGTGTGTATGGGTGACCTGTGTTCCACCACTGACCATCTTACCGCTCCTTTGCCCAAATTTTTTTTACTTAGAGCTATGAAGTCAGAGAAGAAATGTTGGATCCAGGCAACTAACTGGAGTCATAGAGTCAGGTTTTGATTTTTTTTTTTAATGTAAAGACCCAGTGACAGATTTTCATGCACAGAAATCCTGTGTCATTGACTCAGTGTTTGGGACTGCCCCACGGTGTAAGGACTGGACCCCAAAGGGAATGAGTCCCGAATGGAATCTGCATCGCAGTTAAGTTTTTACATAAATGTGTCTGCTGAGCTCAGAATGGGGCAAGTAGGATGGCGAAGGGTTTCCTAGCTCCTGTTAATTGGACCTGGTGCTCTGTGGTTGTCTTTCTTGTCTCAGCAGTTACCTCCTGGGCTTGACTGTCAAGGAAGTGCTTAATCTGCAGTTTGTCCCCAGTTACCCAGATCAACAGAAATCCGAGTCCCCCACACTCACCCCCTTAAAAATTCACCACTTTTGAAAATACCAAACATCCAATCCTGTCCACCTAGCCTGTAGGTTCCAGACAAGTTTCTTGGAGAATGAACCTTTTTTTTTTTTTGGTATCAGAGATCGAACTCAGGACTTTGCACTTGGGGGCCAGGCACGGTGCCCCTGAGCTACATCCCCAGCCCTCCTGTAGAACTTTCAATGAGCCTGAGCTCACACACATTCCAAAAGAGAAGCCACTATCTGATGAAGGAGAAAGGGTTTAAACAAGTGCTTCAAAAATATTTGGAGTCCAGCAGATTTTCTTTCCTTTTTTTCCAGCAGATTTAATTAAAATAAGTTAAAAACAGAAATGGAAAAGAAGGACTGGCAGAATTTTCACTGAAGGGAGGCTTACATTTTAAAATGCAGAAGACCACCCTCCTTCCAGCCAAGAATAAATTGGAAACTATTTTAATTGACACGGATACTGCAATTCAACTGTTACTAGAAAGACAGATTAGTTGATTGATTTGCATTTTAATAAAACTAATACTTTACATTTTGGTAGCTAATGCTGATTTTTAAATGAGTTGAGAGCAGTTATCAAGAGTTTCAATCCTGAGCCCTTTTTCGGTGTTGACTGAAGCAGTCCTCTCTTTTGTGTGGAGTTTGCTGATTTTATTTTTGCCCAGCTGACTGCTTTGCACGGCACACTCAACGCATTGACCTTGGAGATCTTCCGGGCCAGTGGGGCAGTGAACCAGTCACAGGGCAGCCTCCTGCCTGGCCCTGCCTGGGTCCGCCCCACGGATGGAGCCTCAAGGCCTGGGGCTGCTCTGCGGGGCAGACAAGATGGTAAGGTTGGTTTCCTGCTTTATTTTTATCTTAAAAATTACTTACAGAAAAGTAAAAGGAGCAAGCAAAAGCAAGACTCAGCTGTAATCCCATCACCCCAGAATAGCCGCTTCTCTCTAGAGCTTCTCTCACATGTGCAGGTGCCATCATATCCCAGATAGCCCGGCGATTCTGTAGGGGAAAGAAGCCAGAGAACATGGGATGGGACACTGCGGGGGTGGTGGTGGTGGTGGTTGTTTTGTTGTGTAGGGTTTTTTGGTTTTGATTTTTGGGGGTTGAGTTCTCACTTAAGTTGCTAAATTGCCTAGGCTGGGCTCAAACTCGCGCTCAGATTACAGGTGTGTACCATTACACCTGGCTTCAAAGACTTACAATTTTGTGTTGTTTTTGGTGCTGGGGGTGAATCTAGCGCCTCACTATCACTGAGTTATACAACATGTCCAAGACTTGGTTTTTTGTTTTTTGGTTTTTTTGGTACTGGGGATTGAACTTGGAACCTTGCGCTCGTGACGCAGGTGGCGGAATCACTGAGCTAAATCCCTGGCCCCAAGACTTGGTTTTTACTTTTGAATTGTTTGAAATTTTTTTTACTTACCCTCTTAAAAACAGTAAAAGCAAAATTATCTATAGCTGGGGGTGTAGCTTTGTGGTAGATCTCATGTGCTTAGCATGCATGAAGCCCGGGGTTTAATTCCCAGCACTGAAAAAAAATTTAAAAGTCATAAAAGCAGCATACCTACACAGCTATGTCTCTCTCATGCACCAAACATATGAGCCACCAGATAACCAGGGTTACATGGCATTCTGCATTTTTTATTACCAGTGTACAACAAAAGATTTCTGTGTACAGATATCTTCACGTTGCTAGGTTGTTGGCTTGTTTTTGCTGCAGGATCTTGCTGTGAAGTCCAGGCTGGTCTCAAACTCAATCTTCCTACCTCAGCCCCTTCAGAGATAATCATACTTTAATTGCTAACTAATAATTTCATATATCAGTAATTAAATCCTCTGCTGTTGGACATTTAAATTGTTTCTGGATTTTGCTGTTGCAAATGATGCTACAGGGAAACATTTGTGCATAAAGTTTGTATTTTGACACTTTTTTGGCACATATTCTTAGGAGTAAAATGAACCAGGCAAAGAGTGTAAATATTTTTAAGGCTCTTGGTACACATCACCAAGCTGATTTTCAGGCCCTTGTCCACATCTCCACACTTGCCTAGGCTGAGCCGTCTGCAACAAAGGGAAATGGGAAGCAGAGAGATCGGCCTGGGGTTTGATCCTGGGGTTTATTTCTTGCTCCCCAGGGAACCCTTCAAATCAGCATCCTCCTGTGGGGGGATTAAAGAGCTCCCTATAACGTGCTTTGAGATGCTCCACTGAAAGATGGCGGATAAATAGAAAGTGACACTGTCATTTCCCTCCTCGGCCCCATACTTTGCTTCTGGCTGCTAGATTGCCTATAATTTGCTTTCCCCTGTCCCCCCTGGTTTCCACTCCTGCTGCTTTCTATCCCTTCATCCTGGGGATCTCCTGGCCAGTCTCCTTCACCTTGTGGGACTGCTCTGTACTTTGTTTTGGTCTATTGACGTTTCTATCCAGGAACACGGTCCAGGCCCTAACGTAACTGCACATCATCTGGAAGCCCTGAGTGTTCAGAGAGCCACCAGGGAAAGCCAGCCCAGCAGACTGTGGATCTCTAGTTTAGGAAAGCAGTTTTCCTACTAGAAGAAAGCAGAAGGGAATACCTCAGAACATTGGAATGGGTAAGGGAATTTTGGATAAGACCCCAAAAATTCAGGAAACAAAAGTGAAAATAGACAAATAGATGTTTCTCCAAGAAGACACAAATGCCCAGCAAGTCTATGGAAAAATGCTCAATATCACCAATCAGGGAAATGCAAATCAAAGCCACAATGAGACATCGCCAGTAAGAAGGGCTATTAAAAAGCAAAAAATACCAAGTTCTGGTGAGGATGTGAAGAAAGAGAACCTCTCCCCATACCTTGTCAGAGGGAATGTAAATGAGAGCGACTGTGAAAACTGTATGGAGATCCCTGAAGGAAATTAGAGGGCTGGGGGTGTGGCTCATTGTACAACACTTGCCTAGTATGTGTAAGGCCCTGTTTGAGTCCCTAGTACTAAAAAAAGAAAAAGGGAAAAAAACCAGCCGTATGTTCCAGCAGTCTCACCTCTGGGCACAGATATCCAAAGGGGGTGAAATAGCACATCACAACATCCGCACTCATGTTTACAGTAGCATCAGTCACAACAGCCAACACAGGGAATCAGCTGGTGTCTATCAGCTGACGAATGGATAAAGAAATACGGTCCATATGCACCATGGAATACTACTGAGCCCTTATAAGAGGACAAAATCCTGTCATTTGTGAAAACATGAATGGAGCTGCAGGTCATTATGGTTTGGTTTGGTCTGGTTTGGTTTTTTGAGCCAGGATCTCACTGTGTAGTTCAGGCTGGTCTTAAACTCACTGTGTAACCCAGGGTGGCCTTGAACCCATGGCAATCCTCCTGCCTCAGCCTCTCCAGTGCTGGGATTACAGGCATGT